ATGAAACATAATGCCTGCCTAACTGTTTTCCAGTATCCCAAACCTGCTTACAGTTCTTCTCCCAAAGAAGATTTCTGGTGGGGTGAAGCACCGCGTGCTGAGAAGTACCTGCTCCTCCCTAGCTGCAGCTGCCAGCTCCAGGGAGATGGGCTGGACTCAGTGCTGAGCTGGCTCAGCTAAACTGGGGGCAGGGAGACACCTGGGAGCCTCCACATACAAACACCTGAGCCAGGGCCCTGCAGATCTGGATGCCAGGGTTTGCTCTGGACCAAGTGATTCCTGTTCTTTGCTTTCCTGCCTTTGTGTTACCATGCAGCACAGAAAAAGCCGCGGCTTTTCCCCCTCTGCTAAGCTGCCCCAGAGCCAGCTGCGGATGCTGTCCTGCGATGCCCACCCTTGGAGTCGGGCAGCTGTCAGGGAAGCACAGCCTGCTCACTTTCAATAAAACTGACACTTGTGGCTGGCTTGTTCCAAGCCTTTTAATCTCCACCAAGAAGACCCTACAAACTGCTTTCAGAAAAGACCTTTAAATAAGGAAAGGGAAAAAGCTTTTCAGCAGCGGCCATGGGGTTCTTCCAAGTTTGATACCAAGAGGAAGCGGCTGGCTCCAAAAGAGATAACACTAGGACCAATCGTTGTTTTGCAGACTTTAAGAGTAACCAACTAAAAATGCATGGGACAAATTGTCCACGGAGGCATGTCAGCACCGATCCATTGGCTGGGGCAAGTTTCACTGGGGAGGGTGGGTGCAGAAGCAAGCATGGGAGCGTCCCTGCAGAGCAGTCAGGCCTCTGCCCCCCTCACCTCCCAGCGCCATTGACAGAAGTTAAGTTCTCTGTTAGGAAGCTGCTCTCACCACCCCCCCCTGAAATGTGGGTTCATGCAAGGTTGCATATGGCCCAGTGAGAGGTGCCCCTGGGGACATCCCACAGTGGTGGGGAGGCAGTGGAGCTCTCCAGGGAGCACTGATCCCTGTTCACCCTGGCTGTTGACCATTTCAACCTGATATGGGCATATTTTACAAGCACCATAAGGTATCGCTCAGCATGATGAGGCTGCTCAGTATCCTGGTTCTCTATGCCTGTGGGAGACACGGACTGTCTGCTCCCTTGCATTCCCCTTCCTCTTGCTAGGTTTGCATTTGGGTTTAAGATGTGCAAAACCTGCCTCCCTCCACCTGTCTCATTGCTGACTGTCTCTCTCTGTGCTCGCTGCTCTGACCCATCAGCCTGGGCTCTGGCTGCCTCTTCCCGGTCCTCCAGCCAGGTCTGATCCCGTTATCCTCTGTCACAACGTATTTGTAAACTGGGACCTTATTCTTAAATACAGCCCCACAGCCAAAACGCAGAGCTATCACTGCATTTACTTTATCAATATGTAAAAGTGTCAGCATTTTTAGATCTGGCCACCAAGAACTCCCTGGTCCAGACACAAGCTCTGCATCTCCCATTGTGCAGCTGGAGTCCCCCCGGCACCTCCCAGCTCTCCCTCTGCAGGCTCCTTACGTGTGTTGTGCCACCAGGGTGGACATTTTGGGGAGGAAACCCCAGGTCTGGCAAGCTGCTCTGGAACTTGGCAGCCCTGAGGCCTGAAACACTGGCAAGGTGAGGGGTTCGGGTACAGCGTGCAGGTGAGGTGCATGGAGAGGAGTGATGAATTTTGGTGCACACGGACTGCTGGGGTTCATCCCCATTCAAAGGTGGTGCCTAATTAGTATAAAACCAAAACAGGTGCCTGGCAGAACGCTGAGTGGAAAACCGACAAAGGTCTTTCAGCTTGGCTAGAAAAGAAAATGTCTGCTGTACAGAAAATACCTCCGAGATACAAATGATTTCAGGAACACAGATTACGACGCTGAAGATTGGGGTAGGAGTTTACACGGGAGATGGTGGATTGCAGTCTTGGCTCGGGCATGAAGGCCATGGAGATCTACTTGTGGGGTCATGTGAAGATGCCCATAAATGCAGGTCACCTTAGCTCAAGCATGGGTGAAGGGTGAAGAGAGTGCTCACAGCAGGGATGAGAAGGCTGGAGCAGGAACCGGCAGAGACAGACAGCAGGATTTCTTCCCAGGAGTCCTACAAATGGCAGGAAGGCTGTGGCAGAAAAGTTACCCACCAGTCTGTCATGACAGGGTTGCGTAGTAGGAAGGAAAGTTTTTCCCAGCAGCTGGGAAGAGTGGCAGACTAGGATTCTGACAACTGTTTTGGGAGTCCACCTGGAGAGCCGGTGGGGCTGTGGCAGTTAAGAAAAGCTAGTAAGGAGATACACATACGGGCTGATGGGCAGTGCGGCAAAGCATCCATGCTGCAGATATCACGCCTGTTTTGAGTGCGAGCTGCTCTGCCCCTGGCTCCTCAGAGACCTGTGTCCAAGCTGAGCTGTCTTCTCTCTGCTCAGCTCTCTCCTCTGCCACTCTCACCAGCCCCACCAATGTGCAGCACATTGCCCAAGCATCCAGCTTAGTCCTTGGATTTACCTTACTCTCTCCAGATTGCCTCTGTAAACTGTGGCTCCTGGGGCAGAAATAGGCATGGCAGGTTATAAATCCCAGTGAGCAGGAGGACAAGGAAATGCAGTATGCTACAGGACAGGGGCAGATCGTTCCTTCAGATGTTTGGCAAACCTGGTATCTTTATTTTTCTTACTGAGACGTTTATGTGCCACCACTGAGACCTTACCCAGTCTGGCCCCAGCAGCGCCCAGGCGACCTGCTGGGGCCACTGCTCTGTCACTGCTCAGAGCTGGGGCAGCCCTAGGGTGGTGAGGGGCTGCAGAACAAGCAGGCAAATTGGTGACTGTCACGCAAAATGCAGGATATGAAGCACCCCTGAGCAGCTGTGACCCCAGATCAGCTGAAAAGGATTTTGAAAGCGAGATAAAGGGATCACCTCCCACCGTGGTTCCCCTGCAGAGGCACTGCAGATAGCAGGTTAGGGTTAATTTGTTTTCTGAATTAACTAGGAATTTGGGAGGCTTGAAGCAATTGTACTTTGTTTTGTTTTTCAGGTTTATCTCAACAATCCTTTTTGCCTGTGCATTTTTGGTAGCGGCTCCTCAATCAGAACTTAGCTGGAGGGGTGGGGAGAGTTTATTGTGTTAATAATGTGTGCTGGCTACTGATCCCTTTCCCCAGGTCGTGGAAAATTCCCCAAGATCGATGTCTTGGGTGATGAAAATATTCTTTTAAAAAAGCCCCAGCAAATATATATTTTTTTAATTACAAATCAAATATATAATAAAAGCAGCAATATCTTGTACTCCTCTAGCTCTTTTCCCTCCTAATTCTCAAAGGACAGCCTCAAAAGCATTTCTCTGGAGTCAGGGCGGGTCAGAGCTGTCCTTTATAAAAGCTGCCTTTTCTTTCCCAGGTTGTTGCCCTTTCTTTGCTCCCTCATACTTCCCCTTTCTTTTCTCCCCACCTCCTCTGCCACCAGCCAGCTCAGCAGTGTCGCTGTGATCCAGCTCTTTGGAAAATGAAGGGGTGCCTCACAGATGTTTTTTTTCCAGACCTTGGGGTTGCTCTTCTCAACAAAGAACAGGATCTTGGTGACAGCCCTGCAGAGCAGGCTGTACCCTTCCCTTGAACAAGCAGCAGTGCATCACGTCATGCTCGGAGCGCGCCGCCTCACTCCCTCGCCTCTCTCCGTGTCAGGCTTTTCAAGTTTCTACAAGAAAAAAAAAGAAAGCTTTCATTCTACAAGGCCAGCATCCAGTTCATATTTTTTATATCGCAGGGAAGATAAGCCAGGATACAACAATGACCTACTTCACGTCTTGATAAAATAATTTCCTCTCTCTGTCATTTTTCTCAAAGAATAATATTTGACCAACGCGAGCATGTAAGATAGAGCAAGAGCTTTTCTGTGAACTAGCTGATAATATGCCAAATTCAGCCCTGAGACAGACAACTGCCACCCTGTTGACCTATGTGGAGTCAAGCCTGTTTATCCCCCAGCTCAGCGCTCTGAAAACAATTGGGTTCAAACCTGTAAGATGTGTGCATGCGATAGGGCTGAGGCCAAAAGCTTTGGAGGCAGCGGCTATCTGTTACAGCATCCCTCCATCGAGGCACCCTCAGCCCACCGCCAGCACGGCTGCCCAGGAGCTGCTCTGACTTGCTGCTGTGGTGCAAATGGGCCCCCCCCTCTGCAAAACAACCGGTTAGCTCATCCTCTTACACAAAAGGCTACTGTATGTGGCAGGGTACATTACAGTATAGGGCAACCATGCAGCTCTGAATCCACTCACGCCCCCCTCCCCGAGCACAGAAACAATGCGGACCGTTATAGCTATCTCGCTGGAGCCCACTTAGCTCAATGCATCGACTGTGTTTGTCTACTGAAGGTGTTTAAAAATGTGCACGTGGCATTTTTCGTTTGCGGCATTTGCATGAAGAGCTTTCTCACATTGTCTTTCCACACTGTTCAAATAGATTGTCACCCAGTGCACATTGCCCACCCTCTCATCTCCCACCTGCAGGAGTTTTCCTTGTGGCTGTGCATCTTTCCTCTTAATGAGTTCTCATGGCAGTGTTGATACAGGCCACAGATTTGCCATTTGTCACTGCGGATAAGAGGTGACATTGCCCAGGCATCCTTGTGTCCTCAGTTGGGTCATATTCCATCCTGGCGTCAGAGATCACAGTATGCCTGCTCACCTTCAGCTGGCATACTGATCAAAATGGACAGAAATTCATCTGCTGTTGTGACTCCAGCATGCCTTGACACACTGCCCAAGATGGCCAAAGCCGACCAGCAAACGGTTTTTACTGTATTTACCGTCAGCTCATTTACCGTCAGCATATTTACCGTATGCTGACTTTCCAGCATCACATGCCATTCCACAGTACTAACAAGGTACATGATTTATGGGATGCTGCTGAGAGTAAAATATAGTTAAAATGTAATTACAGTTCTCCTTTTATTTCTTTTCTTGCATAAATGTGGTATGAATTGAGTCTCGTCTATTGACTTTTCTCCAATTTCTTGTTCCCCAAGGTGGAAAGTTCCTCTGGATTTCTAGAGATGGAAAATTACTGACTGCTGGGCTCTGGCAGGAGAAGGGTAACAAGCATCTGGGCATGGCGATGGAGACTCTTTTTGACAGCGCGGCTCCTCAGGCACAACAGGCCTTTCTATCAAAGCTCATGTGTGTGGGAGACAACTTTCTTGGGCGTTGCTCGGAGTCTGAAGACTAAACTCTCACAAGGAACTAGCATCTTCAAAGCCATACCTTTTCCCATTGTATGTGCCTTTTGTTAGCATTGCCTTGTCTTGTGTAGAGATGCAGCTATGTATACACTCAGAACCATGCAGAACAAAAGTGAGACGTGGGACTGCAAATGGCAAATGCATCAGACATAACAGCATCTAGTCTCCATGCTCCATGCAGTTCTTCAGAAATGACTGCTGATGTTATTCCTTGTATTGTGTAGATCCTGACTACCTTCAAAGTTTCACCGAAGTGATTGTCTACAACTCAGAAGAAGAGACACAAGTCCCTTTGCAATTCACCCATTTTCCTCTTGGCTCAGATGAAGAAAAAGAAGAACCTATAACAAATTTTGGTACTGGGATTGGTACCTGATTTTGATCGAGGATGTGATTTGTCACCAGTTTCACTCCTACACCAAGCTATGTGGTCCACTATTGAAACAGCATGGGTGCTCAAGATGTTACCACACTACAGGTATGAGGCCCCTCAACCATTACAGCAGAGCAGCCATGCAAAGGCTTCTCACCCCTTTCGGTGAAACATCTGCTGGGCTGAAGCTGTCCAATACTGAATTAAACAAACACTGTGACTTTGCAGCCAGGTGGCTGTGGAGCACACAGGCTTTCGGGCTCTGCTATGGAAGAAGCAACCCTGGGAACAAGTGTGGCGATAGGCTGCCGTGGTGCTAACCTTTCAAACAGCTGCAGCCGTTTGCAAAGCGAGCCTGCACCTACACATGTAATGTTTTTCCCTTTCATGACAAGAATAACCCATATTAGCATTATCCTGGCACAACTGCATCCATCCTCTGGGGAGTTAGCTGCAACAGTATTGTTAAAGCAATTCAGCTTTTGTAGGTAGACAGGCTATAATTATACTAAATTAAAATAGAATGCTTTTGTTCTAACCTAGGCATCCCCACAAGGACTTGCACCAAAATAACCAAAGGTACGAATTAAGCCATTTCTGTTATTTTAGTACATGCCTGAGCACAGGCAGGCTCCTGCTCTGATCCTTCTGGCTGTCAATCCTGGCAAAGCTCAGCTGCCTGGGTGATCCCCTCTTCTCAGGCTTCATCACAGTGGGATCAATATATGAAAGCACCAGACAGGGAAATGCTTCTTGGTTGTAGATGGGTGCCCTGTGATGTCTCTGTCTGGCACTAACTCCCGTATGTGACAGCACTGTCTTTGTTCATTTAGGGGAAAGTAATTCCGCAGGACTGGGGAGTTCCACACGTGGGTCAGTGACCCCTATGGGTCTTGAGCATGAGGGCCACACTGAGCCCCGGTGCTCTGCTGGCTGCCGTGCTCCATCCCCGCCCTGCAGGGAGTGGGTGGGTGCTGCCGCCCCAGCGCAGGGCTCCAGGGAGCTTTTTCTTCCCCCATCCCTCCAACTTCGTGCACAGGGCATCCAACCTGGGGTCTTCCCAGCTGCCTTTGGCCAGGGAGGACCTTGGCTTTGGCCCTGCTTTGGAGTACCCAACATGTTGTCTGGAGCGCATGACTGCTACAACCCTGTGGACCGCCACGGTGGCTGTTTCCATGGAAGAGGCCAGTACACACAGGAAAGCAAGATTGGCTGTGCCAAGTGCTTATTTCCATGAGGGACGAGCCTTGGCAGGGTCTTCAGTGGTCAGAGCATGCAGCTCCAGAGTTTATAGCAGCAGGAAGACAACAGCCCCGTAGGCCTGACATTTCCAGCTCCTCCGGCGAGCACGGGACAGGCAGCTGGGGCATGACAGGCAGTTGCAGCACACGCTGCGCTACGAAACCAGTGGCATCGTGTGGGTTTCCGTTTCAGTGAGGGAAACGGGGCAACGGCACTCCCGGTCGCACTGGGAGCTCAGTGATGCTGAAAACGGTAAACTGAAGTCCCCATGTTTAAGCCACTCAAGCTACGTGCACTTGCTGTCTGCAAATGAGGGGACTAACATCTACACCCCTGGCTCTCTGCTGGCAGAGCTCATGTTACTTGTACGGTGCTGTTGTGGTCCCCGGTGGAAACGCGTTAACCGTGTTCCCAATTTAGGACAGAGCCAAACTTTTCAGCAGCCTTTCATTTTCGGTCCTCAACCGCAGAACTTGCCGAGGCCAACTTATTTCAACGGTGCTAAAATCGCGGTGCCCCCCTTTTCCCCCGGCACATGGCCCAGCCTATCCCTCCCCAGGCCTGCAGGTGGGAGCTCACTCGGCGCCCACCTCTCCCGCGGCAAACGCGCCCGGAGCGCCCATCGAAGCCTCAGTGCGCTCCCGCCCTCATCACTCCAACCGG